TCCTGGTGACAGAGTGGTCAGGAATAAACAAGACTTGAGTATCAGGACATGGGACACAAGCAACATCTTTTAGAAAAGAAAGCCCCAGGGGCTGGCTGGTTAGCTCAGTTGGTTAGAGTGCAGTGTTATAACACCAAAGTCAAGGGTTCAGATTCCCATACTGGCCAGCCACCAAAAAAAAAGAAGAGAAAAGAAAGTCTGAGACAGATGGAAACCCGAGAGGATGGAGATGAGACCAGAGGCCGGGAGGCGCCCACTCTCCATCAATTTAGAACCAGTGCAGAAATGGATTTTCTCTTGCGCTCTCCTATAAACACACTTCAAAGCCACTGGTGGTGGGAGCGAGAGGGAGGGCTCAGCAACAACGCAGGGCCAGGCGGCAGAGAGAAGGGGGACGGCGACACAGGGAGGCTTGAAAAGGCAATTTGAAATTCCATTTCATTTCATTTCGTTTTCAATTTGGAGGTGGCAAGAGGCCAGGAGCTTGGGGGGACAAGTGTGCCTGTGGAAGAGACAGGAGAGAGGGCTCAGAGAGACACAGAGACAGAGAGCAGGAGGGGATGGAGACACCGAGAGACAGGAGTGAGAGATGAGGATGAGCAGAGGAGCAGACAGAGACAGAAAGAAAGATGGAGAGAAAAGCAAAAGCAAATTGTGAGACCCCAACCCACAATCCAACTCACACACACTCTCGTGAGTCCTAGCTCTGGACTTGACTCTGCTCTTGAAGTGCTGTGTGATCTTGCAGAAGACCCTCTCTGAGCGTGGGGGCCAGGTGAGATTACTCTGGCTCCACGGAGGCCGGAAAGGGGACAGGGACAGGGCACGGGGGCCGGGGGGGCTAGGAGGGCGGCAACCTCACGGTGATGGTTCTGAGTAGGCACGCAGGGGCACCCAGGGAAAGGGCCAGGGGCAGTTGGGGACCCAGTGCAGAAACTGCGGTTCAGAGCAGGAAAGCGGCTGGTTCAAGGCCATGCACCCAGGATAGAAACCAGCCCTTGAGACCTCATGACCACCCTCTCCCCAGCAGGAGGTAGCTGCCTGCCCCTCCCCCCGCCAGCCTGTCCCATCCGGGGCTCAGGACAAGCCAAGCAGGTCATAGGGGTGCAACTGTGGGCTGTGGGGGTTCCCACATGGGCCACACAGTGGTCCCCCTGCCCACCTTGTTCTTGCCCAGAGTGGGAGGACAAAGAGTGACAGCACAGTGGACACGTCTGGGACATCATCTGCAAACAGTATCTGGGCACCGACCCACCCAGGCCCTGTTCTCGGCACTTTATGGAAATAACTTACCGGCTCCTCACAGCCGTCCTTTAAGGGAGCCACTTCCAAGTCCTATTTAACAGAGGAGGAAACTGAGGCATTCTCTATTAGGGGATTGTCCTCTGCCTAGTTGTCATTTGCACACTCTTCAGGAAGGAGAGAGACCTCACCTCCTTTCTGGGCAGCCCAGCCTGGTGACTCTGCCTCAGTTTCCCCACCCATTCGTCCAGGTCAGGCCGGGGAGGGGTGTCTGGCCCCGGGCACGGAAGGCCGCAAGGCAGGCACAACGGAGGGCCGTGGCCACGCGGTGCTGGCAGAAAAGAGCCAGCCGAGGCCCAGGGGCGGCGACCCCCACACTCCCTCCCCGACGCCACAGGCGGGGCGGCGGCGGACGGGGCCGCCGAGTCGCGCGGCGCGAGAAAGCTGTCCTGCGGCGCCCTCTAGCGGCCCAAGCGGCGCCCAGCCCCGCCGGATGCGCCGATGCGTTCGCCCCAGGCTGGCGGGGGTCCCGCTGAGGGCCTGGCTGAGCTGGGGACAATGCGGGGATCCGTCCAGCCAGCCCCAGGCGCCCCTGCTCCCGGAACCTTGAAATACAGAGAATCCCTCCACCCCGGGACCGTGTGCTGACCAGCCCGGATTGGGACGAGGATAAAGCTCGGTCCTTCGCCCTCCTGAGGGGCAGATTTGCACAACCCACGACTTTCTGGACATCTCTACGCAGCTGCCCACTGCGTCCCAAGAGAATCCCTCCACCCCGGGACCGTGTGCTGACCAGCCCGGATTGGGACGAGGATAAAGCTCTGTCCTTCGCCCTCCTGAGGGGCAGATTTGCACAACCCACGACTTTCTGGACATCTCTACGCAGCTGCCCACTGCGTCCCATACTCAACCTTCATCCATCCAATTCGTGCGAGTATGGAGCACTTACTGTATGCCAAGCACTGTTCCCGGCGCTAGGGCTGTAACAATGAAGAAAACAAATGTCCCTCCCCCTGTGGAGCTTACAGTGGGTGTTGATGGGGGAAATAGACAATAAACATAATGAAGAAGAAAACAATCTGGCTATTTTGGAGGCAGGAAAAAAGCACGAGTCTGACCATGTCACTGGGCTCCAGGGCCCCCCCATGGCCCTTAGGTAAAAAATCATAGAGTCAGCTCTTGAGACTGTTGGAGTGAGCAGGACTGAAGCCATGTTGGGACCTAAAGCTGCCTGGGCTGCAGAGGAGGGGAGGATTTTTAAAAGGACAGTTTTTTTCTCTCCACTCTTGCTTCCCAGGCCCAGACTTTCTTATCTCACTCGCTAAGTAGGAAAACAAGGCCAAGAAGCTAATTAGTACTTTCCAAAGCTGACAGTTCTTTGTCTGAGATTTGTAGAGTTTTGAGAAATGATCAAGGCCAAACGACTGGAGGCTGACCTTGGGCACTAGCCAAGTGCACTGGCGCAAATCAAAATTTTGCAGGGTCCTGAGATAACAGCAAAGATGAGAACAGAAACCAGATGAGGACTTGGCGAGACTTTGTACCTGACCCATAGAAATGGACCCTCATAACTCACATCTCCTGCTCTCCTGCTTTTCACCTCCCACATTCCATTCCCTCAACGCTTCCTTTAAAAACCCCTCAATAGGGCCGGCCTGTGGCTCACTCGGGAGAGTGCGGTGCTGATAACACCAAGGCCACGGGTTCGGATCCCTATATAGGGATGGTTAGCTCACTTGGGAGAGCGTGGTGCTGACAACACCAAGTCAAGGTATCCCCTTACTGGTCATCTTTAAAAAAATAAATAAATAAAAATAAAAACCCCTCAGTAAATGTAAATTTTTGAGATGGGATAGCCTACCATCTCCTTCAGCTGAATACATCTGCTTTTCTAACACCAACCATTTGACTTCTGAATTTTTTTCTTTCCTTTTCAAAGAGGCCGGCAGCTGGACCTGAGTCCAGTAACAAGACCATCCTGTCCTGCATGGCAAACCTCGACTCTCCTCTGGGCCACTCCTGTGTCACAGGGTGTAGGCTCTCACCAAGACATCCTCCTGCCTGGAGCACGGCCCCCTCACTATGCATGATGAGCTCCTCATCCTCTAGAGGCCTATCTGACCCCGTGGCTTGACAGCCCCCACCCACACCACAGCACTGCTCTCCTGCGTGGCTGGGACAGGTCTGCCACACACATGCTCAGTGGTTCAGGCTGTCTGTCTTGATTCCTAGCCCTGACACCAGTTGTGTGACCTCCTCAGGTTCCTTGGCCTCTCTGGGCCTCTGTTTCTTCATCTATAAAATGGTGAAAACAGTTCCTACTCTTAAGGATGGCAGGTAAATGAGTTAACAGATGTAAAACACTTAGAACAGGACCTTGACCCTTGATGTAGTGTTTGTGGTTGTTAATATCTATTAGGTGTCTATCTCCCTCCTGGACTGGCTGATGGAGGTTAGACAGTAGGTCTATCCAGGAAGGACCAGCTGAGTCATCTCTATGTCCCACACTCTACAGTGTCAGATATACTAAAGGCCCTCAGAACATATCTGCTCAGTGACCTCAGTCATTACTTCCCATTCGTCACTCATTTATGCTCTCCTCCATGTCAGGTGCTGGGCTAGGAGCTGTAGATGAAGCAGTGAACAGCCGGGGCTCCTTCCCACTGCAAGAAGAGTCATTTCTAGGCCAGAAGTTCTCAAACTTTCTGGTCTGAGCAGCACTTTCTTTACACTCTTAAAAATTCAGGATCCTAAAGAACTTTTTCTTTTTATTTTGATTTATTATTATTTTTAAGGCTAGTCAACTGACGCAGTAGGAGTGGAGAAGGAACAAAGAAATCTGTAACTGGTTCTGATCAATTAGTTGTAAACATCACTGCACTTGGACTGCACAAATGCCTGAAGTAACTTCTGCATGTGGGTAATATCTATTGATACCATATTAGAAACTAAAACTGAAAAAAACCCAGAAACCTAAAACTGAGAAATTTTTAAAATATGTATTAATTTGTTTAAAATAACAATAATGGGCCGGCCCGTGGCTCACTCGGCAGAGTGCGGTGCTGATAACACCAAGGCCACGGGTTCGGATCCTATATAGGGATGGCCGGTTTGCTCACTGGCTGAGCGTGGTGCTGACAACACCAAGTCAAGGGTTGAGATCCCCTTACCGGTCATCTTTTAAAAATAAATAAATTAATTAATTAATTAAATAAAATAACAATAACAATAACAAACCCATTGCTTGGTAGCGTAAATGACAAATTTTATGAAAAGTAATTGTATTTTTCAAAAAAACACATTGCTTTGCATTTTTCCTAATGACTTTTGGCTTAATGGAAGACAGCTGGATTCTCACGACGCCCTCGATCTATGCAGTATGTTCCTTTGGTTGAAGTTTTCGAAAAAGATCCAGTCCCACCTTTTCTCTACGGTGAAAATTGGTAACACCAACCCTCCGCCCCGCCCCCGGCCTCGCCCACCACGGAGAAGCGACACCCGAGAGGATTGACCATCCAGGCTGAGTTAATTGTGGACGGCTTCCGGGAGAAGGCGTGGCCTGCCTCACTAGCTTGGCTGGGATTGGACAACAAATGTGTCCTTCTGCGCCTTGGACCCGCCTCCAGTTTCACCCCTCTTTCCGCGCGAGGGTGAACCCTGACGCATGCGTCCTAAGAAAGGTGGGCACTTCCGCCCGCCTTCCCCGGAACCTTCTGTCCCGCTCGGGTTTCCGCAGAGACTACTAGGACGGCCAAGGCGGAAGTAGCGTGAGGCGGGTGGGCGGAGCTAAGCGCTGTCATGTCGGCGGCCTTGCTGCGGCGGGGTCTGGAGCTGCTGGCGGCGTCGGAGGGTGAGGAGCGCCTGCCCGGGGACTCCCGGCGTGGGCAGGAGGGTGGCGGGGGCTGCGGGCCGGAGCCCGAGGATGGGGAATGATCCACGCTGGGCTTAGCCCCAGTGCAGTGGGAACCCTGCGCGCCCTCCGACTTGGGTCCGTCCCTCTCTGTTTCCCTACAGCCCCCCGGGACGCGCCAGGCCAGACCAAGCCGAGCGGGGCTCCGGTGAAGCGGGCCCGGAAGGCGAAGGCGACCCAGGGCCCCAAACTGCGGAACTCGGCTAAGGGAAAGGTGCCCAAGTCGGCCCTGGGTGAGTTCGGGAAGGGGCTGAACGTGCTGTCCCCGGATTGGGGGCGGCGCTCTGTAGGAGGTGGCTCTTGAGGCGGGGCTTGAAGCGCTCGCCCGCTATTGCTAGAATGCCTACTGTGCTCCGGGCGCGAAGGGGCGTCCTGGGCATGCAAAGGTGAACGAAACACGCCATCCCGGCCTTCAGGGACTACAGTCTTACTGGTGAGAGAAGCAACAAAGAGTCTCAAAACAAGCACAGAACTGCTAAGTGCATTGAGGCCTATGAAGTAAAAGACTACGGTGCTCTGATGGAAACAGACTTAAAAGGCCAAATCAGCCTTCCCTGAGGAAGTGACATTTAAGCCGACAGATGAGGAAGAATGAGTGAGCCAGGTGAAAAGCAGAAGGGTATTCTAAGGAGGATATAGCATGTTCAGAGGTCCTGGGTGAGAAAGGAGCTTGTTGCTTATGAGAATCTGAAAGAAAGAAGGCTGGTAAAGCAACGTATAGTGAACAAGGGTCAGAGATGGAACATTTAACAGTTGAATACTCCATGTGCCAGGTGCTATTCTAAGCCCTGTACAAATGTTGACTTATTTAATTCTAACCGATACCCTGTGAGGTCGGTACTACTATCACCCCATTTTACAGACGCAGAAACAGGCACCAGCCCAGGAGGTACAGGGAGAAACCAGGCAGTGTATCTCCAGTCCTGTGCTTACCCGCTGCATTCAAGTGGGAAGTGCTGTGGCCTGGGCAGTGGCGATGGTAGCAGAGATAACAAGAGAATTGTATAGGTGGAAGATACGTTGAGGAAGGAGCATTGATGGGCTTCAGTGGTAAACTGGCTGTGAAGATGGAGCGCAGTTTCTAGTAGGGCATCTTGGGGTATGTGGTGCCACTTTATGAGACGTAAAGACTTGAGGAGGAGCAGGCGTGGGCAGCATGGTGATATTTTGATATATGGCAGAACTTGGTGAGCTCCTAGTGTGTCTTTGAATCCCTAGGGCATAATGCATAAAATGCGTTCAGGTATTTGTTAAAAGAAGTACAAATTCAATGGCAGAACCTAATCATGAGCAAAGGTGTGAAGGTAGGAAGGTGAGACACGTTGGAGCACCAGTGATACTTGCTGTGAAGCGGGAGTGTAGGATGCCAGCGGTCACTCCCATCCATCCCAGCCCTTGTCTTACCACCCTGTCACACTGGTGTTTACTTACTGCCTCCCCTTTGGATTGGGAGCTCCTCAAGGCAGAGGCCTCCCTTGGGCTTGTCTGTGGCCCTGGCATCCAGCACAGGGCTTGGCACATAATAGATCAGTAGTGATAGGAACAGCAAGCCTCAGCAGCCAAGTATTGAAAGAATACTTCCATGACTGTCACTGTGGTTGAAGCTACATTGTCTCCTGCCTGGGTTTTTGCAAAAGCCTCTTTACTGGTCTTCCGCCTTTCACACACCCCTCTTCCAGTAATCAGTTCTCAACAGCAGCTGCAGTGGTCTTGTAAAATCGTAAGTCAGACCTTGTTTCTCCTCTGCCTACACTTCCTATGGCTCCCATGGTACTCCGTAAAAGCCAGAGATCTTACACTGCCTGATAAGGCCCTACATGATCTGCCCCCGTCTCCCCCCTCCAGCCATTTACTGTTCTTCAAACACGTTTGCCACACTTCTGCTTCCGGGCCTTTGCACTGGCTGTTCTCTTCACCTAGACAGGTGCTCTTCCCCCAGATATCCACAACTCTGTCCTTTTGGTCTTTGCCCAAATGTCATTTCAGTCAGACCTTCTTAGACCCTCTTATTTAAAATTGCGACCCTTGGGAGGGGGGAGAGGGAAGAGGGAGGGAGGTTTCGGTAATAGGCCACAATAATCAACCACATTGTATATTAACAAAACAAAATAAAAAATAAATAAATAAATCTTTTATTTAATAAAATAAAATAAAATTGCAACCCTCTACCCCTGGCATTCCCCTTTTCCGTTTCCTATTCTCTTTTTCTCCATAAAATGTATCATCCTCTAAAATACAGTTTACCTTGTTTACCATCTCTCCTCCCACCAGAATGTAAGCTCCATGAGGGCAGGGATTTTTGCCTGCTCCATTTTCTGCCGTATGCCCAGCATCTAGAAGACTGCCTGACACATAGCAGTGCTCGGGACTTATTTGTTGAGTAAGTGAAGAAGTCACACGAGCAATTAGGAGCCGAGAGAGCTTACAGCAGGATCTGTGAGGAGGTTGGATTTGACAAAGAGCCCAGCCTGTTGCAATAATCTCAGGAAGGGACCATGGGCAGGTGCATGGGCCAGGTACCCAGAAGGCTTCCAAGGAGTGAGTCTGAAATGGTGCTCCCCACCTGCCATCCACAGCCGAGTATCGAAAGCGAGCATGTCGAGACCATCTCAGAATAAACCTGAAGTTTATGACCAGTGCAAGAAACACATTGGCTGAGTCTGTGACCCAGCAGGTTTGTCAGGGGGATGGACTATGGGAAGGGACCTGGGGGGTGATAGCTGAGGCTGTTCCCCTAAGATCCATGGGGGTCTCAGCCCTGAGCATAGGGTGGAAGTTGGGCCAACCATAAAGGGCAGAGTAGGGGGTGGTGGGAGGCTAGTCCAGCCCTGCCCCATGCCGTCCATTCTCCCTTGTGTCCTTTGTGGACCTCAGTTTACTCTTCTGTAAATGGAAATGATGTACCCTCATTCCTGCATCCCTCGCAGATTCTGTGTCAGAACCGAGGCCGCAAGGCCTGTGACCAGCCTGCAGCCAAGACTAAGAAGAAGAAGGCGGCCGAGGGCACCGTGTTCACTGAGGAGGACTTCCAGAGGTTCCAGCAGGAATACTTCGGCAGCTAGGCTCCCTGGAGGGCACAGTGCGAAGGGCACTCAGGCCCCGCCTCCTGACTTCCCCACCTCTGCTGGCCCCAGGACCCCGCATGCACCCATGCACCGGCCAGCAATTCCAGAACTGCCGGGCTCAAGGAAACCCCAGAACTGGTGAGCTGGAAACCCTGGGAAGGATGTTCACTCTGACTGGAGCTGACTCTGGGAGGAGCCATTTGCACCTGCCAGAAAGGAACTTTTCTGTTTTATTTGCCTTTGCTCGGGTAGTGCCTCTGTTTGCTGTGGAACAAAGCCAGTCACTGGGCCCTTGGGGACCACACCTCCAGGAGAAGGAAGGAGGCTGCCAGGTGGGCTTCTGGGTTTTAATAAATGTGGACTCAAGAGTTATATGTGTGTGCTGCTGATCTGACTTATGGGCATCTCGCATCTCCTCTGGCACTGAAGGTTGTGGTCCCACCCTTCCCTCATCTCCCAACGTGGATCTTGGAGCTCGGGTCTGAAGTCTAGTCCAGCTCCAGTGCAGGTGCCGTCCAGAAAGCTGTTCACCCAGCATCTACTGACATACCCCAAAGGTGCCTCCCTCCCCTGGCGGTGGCAGCTGCAGCTGATGCAAAAATAGCACTCACAGCTGCTAGGGCTTTGTTCCAGGGAAGCAGACCCCAAGGTCTGGGGAGAGTGGGCATAGTACTGGTTCAGCCCTCCCCCCAGGAAGCATGGGGTCTGCCATGGTCACCAGCAGAGATTTTTTTTTTTTTTTTTTGTCTTTTGACTTTTCCCGTGTCCGGCAACAGAGCGCAACGCTCAGTGTTGCCCCCGTACCGGACCGGGGACCGGCAACGGGATTGCAACCCTCGGCGTTGCTCCCGCGCCTCGCTCAGCCAGTGAGCGGGAACCGGTCCGTATGTGGGATCCGAACCCTCGGGAGGGAGCGCCGCCGCGCCTCCCAAGCAGCACACTATCCAGTGCGCCACCGGGCCGGCCCACCAGCAGAGATTTTGATCAGACCCTCCTCTAATCCCCACCCTCACTGTCACCCACAGTTTATGCAGCCAGGTGGGGTCATATGCCTGTGTCACATGGGGTCGGGGAGTAGGAGAGTCTCAGGAGGTAACGTGAAGAAACAGGGTTTCACATTCAGGTCTGCGCCCGAGCAGAAAGGTGGTAGGGAGGGCTACAGCTACACCACCGTGGCAAAGTAAAGTGCCAGGGACTGAGGAGGTGAAGGACAGGTGTGTGCTGAATGAATGAATGCATGAGTGAACTAATGGTGCACACCAAAGTTGGTCTTCAATGAAGAGTGAAGTCACAAAAGGCCGGAGTCTTCGCAGTGGAGGCAGATGGAGGAGGGAACCCGGAAGCCTTCAGGCAGTTCCATTTGTTTCCTGCACTCACCAGTCTCCCCACACCTCACCCCCCGCCTAAGGGTTCCTTAAGTCATGGCAGCTCCCGTGGCTTCTGGTAGAGGACATCACTTGGTCCTGAGACTGGGTCAGAACCTTGATGGGTTCCCTGATGACACAGTATTAGGGGCTGCCTGTTCTTATCTGTAAGGGAATACCCTTCACCCTCACTTCCCCATGGTCTGTTTCTGCTCTGTGCTCCAGTTTTCTATTCTAAGTAAAAACAGGGGCCACAGAACTTTCTAAAGCAGAGTTGGAGTCAGGGTCCTGTCTCCAGGTGGCCTCCATCTGAGTGACAGGAGGCATGACCTTCCAGCCAGGAGGCCTGGGCAGGCAGGGGGTGCTGTGGCTCTAAAGCACAGTAGTGACCGAGACCTTCCTTGGATGCGCTGTCCTTGAGAGGGGAGAGGTGTGGGCTCTTCCCTGCTGCTGAGCTTTAATGACCTCACTGGACAGAAACAAACTCATATCCTTGTAGACTCATTCCCTTCTTTCAAGCAGCTTAGCAAGAAGCCAGATCAGCTGCTTGCTCACAGGAGTTTGGACAGAGGAAGGACAGGCTGACATGGGCTCCAAGGCCCCTTTCTAACAAGGACACGCCTGTTACATAATCACAGGGTGTTCCCTGTCCACTCCCTGGCTGGGTGGGGCGTCACGGGCACCTGGTCCAGCCAAACCCATCAAGGTCTGCTCCTGGGGAAGAATGAAGGCAGGGGTTCTGCTACTTCCCTGGTTGTGAGTTTCCCAATAAATCTTATCTTACTTTTATGCCAAGGAGCACTACAGGGTGCAAGTGCAGGCCCCTCTGCATGCTGGACATTGGCGTTCACCCCTGGGATTCTGGTCAGGGATAGGACTCAGAAATCTGTGTTTTAACAGTCACCTGGGCAATTCTGTGCAGGTGTCTGGAAGGCAGCAGGGATCCAGGCACTGGAGAGGCTGTGTATGTCATTGTGTGTTGGGGGAGGTGCTGGCCATGAACACCAGGACCTAGTGACTGACAGGGCCCAAGTAAGAGGATGTTGAGTTGTCACATCCAAGCCAAAGCTCAAAGGACACAGCAGGAGGAGGAATTCCCCAATTAAGACATCTTGGTGGATGTGAAAGCACCTGGAAGCATCTCAAGTGGCTTGGAGCAGCTGACAGATTTGGGACCAGCTGAAGAGTTTGAGGAACCCACACCATGACAAAGAGGAGGGCCCCAGGCAAGCTTCCTGTGGTTTCCACAAACAATCCACACACCTTTGTCCTCTTTATGACTGGAAGGGCTGGCCGAAGGGACAGGAATGCCACATGGGATCCCACTGGATTCCACCTACCAGGACCACCAGCCCTGCCCAGAGCTTGTGTGGCTAAGGGGCTTAATTCAAGTTCTGGCAGGAGCTGGGAAGATCCCTGTCAGGTGACTTCCTCCAGCAGAGTAAATCCCTCCAGGACAGGCAGGTGGGACAGTACACTCAGTGTGTGCCCCATTCTTTCCTGCCTGGCTGTCTTGGGGCCTCGTCCCCACGCCAGCTCTCCATACCCCTTGATCTGTGCTGGGCTGATCAAGTCACTGCCTGCACCAGCCACGCCTAGGCCAGTGTCCACCCCAGGCCAGACTTGCACATGGGGCATCTGTGGCTGGGCCTCAGTTGTGTCAGGGAAGAGTAGAAACATACACCTCCTCCCAGCTCCTAATGAGGATATAAGCTAATCACAGGAAGGCATTTAGGCCCCCAGAGCTCAGTACATATTAGCTGCAGTTATCATCATCATCAGGTGCTGTGGTAAACCCTGGAAATATGGGCATGACCAAGACAACAAGTTATTGGATGACATAGAGTTTACTTACATTGTAGTTGGGGGATGGAAAATAGACGATAAATCTGTATACAAATAAGCTCACATAGAGTTTACTTACATTGTAGTTGGGGGATGGAAAATAGACGATAAATCTGTATACAAATAAGTTCACATAGAGTTTACTTACATTGTAGTTGGGGGATGGAAAATAGACGATAAATCTGTATACAAATAAGTTCAACTGGAGAAAGGGGTTATATAAAATAAAATAGGGTAGAGTCTGGGACATTAGCAGGGTCACCTCAGAAGGCCTCTCCAAAGTGACATCAGACCTGCATAGGAAGGAGGCAGCTATGGGAAAATCTCTCAGGCAGAGAGAACAGCAACTGCAAAGGCCTCAAGGCAGGAAGAGACGCGGCAGAGGTGCAGGGAGGCCGTTGTGGCTACGGAGCAGTGGAGAGCAGGCCAGGTCAGGGAGAAGGGCAGAGGCCGAATGTGTTCTGTGGTCTGAGCCCACAGCTCTGCTAGTGCCTCTGGGCCTGGGGTCAGGCACGCTGGCTACAGACCGCCAGCCTGCATTGCACCGCTCAGCATCTCAGCAGACCATTTCCATAGGCCACCCCACGCTAGCACCGGATGACTCAGGTGTGACCCTCAGCAAGCAGGCCAGGCCACTTACAGGGCTGCTGTCCCTCGCCCCTCCTCTCAACTGTGTCCTCTTCCTGCTGCCACCCCATGTCCCACAGGCTGGGCCAGCTGCCCCTCAGCAAAAGCAGGCTACAATGTTGATAGTGGACGGTGGGAATTCTAGTCACAAAACTGAAATGATGTATAGAGCAGGGATTAAGAACGGCTCCCCACCCTCCCCCAGCCCCTCATTAAACCATCTGTCAGCGAACTGTTTTCTTCAACTTGAGGGTAAATAAAATATCTTGCTCAAGATCCACATTTTTATTGATCTGTAGCACACCAGCTAAGCACAAACATGGGCTTCCACTGATCCCCCAGCTTTAAAGGTCCCCTTTCCAACTAGATGGCTGCCTTTGCGCCCTGCCTTAAGAAACCCTGGAGCCCTCACTGATGAAGTGTGCACCCTGAAGTCAGACTACCTAGGTTTGAACCTACTACCTACCAGAGCCTGTTATGTAACCTGCAAGCCTATTTCCTCATTTGCAAAATGCAGATTAAAGGAATGGTTCTTATGAAAAAGCTGTGTAGATCAGTTTTCGTATCTACACACGTAGTTGTTCATGCTGTTGAACCAGTAAATCCCCTCACTTGGTTGTTAAGTTTAACTGCTTAGGTGGGGTGATCAGCGTAGGCTTCCCTGTGACTTTGGGGAAAAGATGAAACCAGGAGTTTCCCCGAGATGAGGCAGAGAAAGGATAGCACAGCCATGAGGAAGTCTGGGATTGCAGTAAGACTGCATGGCTTCTAGGAGCTACTTGGCCCTGACATTCCCTGGGAACATCACGCGTTTCAGGTGGCTCACAGGGAGCCTTCACATGAGCTCCAACCTGGGAACCTTTGGGGCCAGCACTGGCCTGAGTCCATGGCAGGATGTCACCCTTCCACTGCACCGCATGGGGAAAGTAAATGGAAATACAACCCTCAATTCTTATATCCTGCTACAGCAAGTTCCAAAAGGAGCCATTTTCTGAATGGGTTTTCTTCTGGGAAGCCTCTTTCAAAACTGTAAAAGCTTATTAGTGAAACCTAATCGTCTTGTGTGCTAAGCTCAAGGACTGCGTGACCTTACCTAGGTACTTACAGATGTTGGCACAATGGCACAAAGCCACAACCATGAGGAAACAGGTGCAGCCCAGGCTGTTCCTCCCTCCCAGCAACCCACAGACCCTCAGGCTCAACTCCGCAGCTCCTCCCTACCCCCTACCCTACCACACCTGGCCCAACTCCTCCTGCCCCAACACTCCACTGGAAGCATAAGCTTATCACGAACCCTTGGGCAGGGCTCTACAAATCTCACCCCAGGTTCAAATTTTCAGTGTTGAA